CGACATCCCCCACCCATCTATTCGCAGGGTGAAATCATTAGCTACGTTAAAACTTACAGATATCTTGGTGTAGATGTACCCTTCAACAAATCCACTATACCACAACTAAACAAGAAATGCAAAGCTAGGCTAAATGCTCTCAAAGCTGTTGCTGGCTACAACCCCAACTATGGTGCTAATGTGAGAATCGTGAGAATGATGTACATAGCCTATGTTAGGTCCTTAATTGATTATGCTGCTCCCATGTTGACATTAGCTAGAGAAAGCTCTCTCCGACCCTTGGAGTTAATGGAAAATGAAGCTCTCAGGATTATTCTTGGCTGTCCCAAATCTACAAAAGTTCTTAACATGAGGAAGGAGCTTGGTATTTATAGTATCAGTGATAGGATTATTGAGATTAAACACTGTACTCGGTATTAGAATGTTGAGAAACGAACCAGACACTGTCACAATGAATCTTACCAAGTGTCTAGAGGTAAATACACACAGATCTAAATGGATTGTGAAAACGTGCAATTACATCAAGTTTTATAACCTGCATGAACTGTATCACTGTAGGCAACAAGAGCATTTCACCCCTCCGTGGAAGATATGTTCATTTAATATCACATACCTGCAAGTCCCTCCCAAGAAGCTCATTGCTAGTAATCCCTTCCTTAAATCTCTTGTTAGAGCAACTGCTCAAGAAGAAATTTCTCACCTAGCCGGTAGTAATAAGTTATCACAAGTTATATACACTGATGGATCTAAACAGGAGTCTTCTGGCAGGGCTGCATCTGCTCTTGTTGCCACCTCCCTTGTTAAAAACGATAATAAATTTGTTGAGTTAGGCATAAGAATTAACAACTGGGCGTCTACACTGCAAACTGAATTGTTTGCAATCCTAATGGCGCTAAAGCTAACCTATGACACTGAGCTCGAGTCTATCATCATTACTGATTCTATGTCATCATTGAAGGCTCTTGACTCATATAATGACTCCAACAACATGCTCATTGGAGAAGCCAGGTATAGATACTCAAAAATTAGGGACAAAGGAATTAATGTACAATTGTTATGGATCCCATCACACATTGGATTACTCCTTCATGATAAAGTTGATATGTTAGCCAAGAAGAGTACCCAGAAGGAGAATGTAGAATATAACTTTGGTATAACTGTGTCTAGCATTAGGAATAATATTAGGAGAGAAGTAAATAATGAAAATGATTGTTATAGGAATGCAGTTAGAAGCCTGAGTAGATCTATAACCCACTATGATAACATGAACGTAGATAAGTACGTTTATGGAGCAACTTGCAATGTGAACACTGACTGATGTTGTAGTGGCCAGACTTAGGCTTGGTTACAAGTACTTCTGGCAGTTTGGGAGACACACAGATGATGATCAAACTAAATGTAAAAATTTTGTGATGAGGCATATGGTCACTCTCTTGAGCACTATGTGCTTAATTGTCCACTTATTGAGGAATACAGAGGCAGACAGTATAGTAACCCATGTGACATGTCAGGATATCTTATTAATGAAAATAAGATACCAGATATACTAAGCAAATTTCCTAAATTTGCTTGTAACAGATAAGTGAACTATAGATATGTAGATATAAATCCATATGTATTCCTGTTAACCCTTTGGGGCCTAGTCCCTAGGCCTTTTGTGTATCCATATGCTCTCGCGCTACCGTCCACAGGATGGATATGGGGTGCACAATAAACTAGCCACTTCGGTGGCAAAGTCTAAAAAAAAATCGTAGGGAGAAACTAGGCCTCTGGTCTGCCATCCGCCTTGCCCCAGGGGCACTCATGGGAGGGGCAGGTGGTAGCAAGCTGTGGCTCTGGCTCTGGCACCATCCCCGCCCTAAGATGGCTCGTGGGATTTTCGATAAAATACATTGAGGTTACGATGGAAATAAATGGTATAAAATACCGACACAATGGCAATATAAACACAAATGCAGTATAATGTGATCCTTTATTGACTACGTTTCGCCCACACAGTGGGCTTTTTCAAGTCACAAACAGAACTACCTGGGGTGGAAGGAACGCGAGTATTTATAGTCCGGCTGAGGTCAGGTGAAGAATGCTGCATCTGATGATGTACCGAGTTGGGTTGTAGAGTCTAAAAACTTGGGTAGCTTGGAAAGGAGACTGGACAAGTTGGTGAGCAGACCTTCTACAGTGTTCTTATGTGGGATAGCGATGAAGAAGTTTCTTGGCAAGTGGTTCAGCTATGTTATAGAAGCCACTATTCTGGTTGAAGTTGTCGGATATAGAAATAAGTGATGATTCCAGGATTCTTCGGTATTGAGTGTTGTCTTCTGTGGCGATAAGTCTGAGTTTCTGTAGTTTATCAAGTGGTTGTGTGAATTACGGTGTTGTACGCAGGCATTCCTTGTGTCGTCAGACCTGCTTGCGTATTGGTGTTCTGAAATACGTGTTTGGAGGTCCCTTGAAGTTTCGCCCACGTATAACTTGTTGCAGTCATTACAAGGGATTATGTATACCCCTGCAGAGGATGGAGGCTTGTCCTGCCTACTACTGGTGATGTCCTTGATGGTCGTGGTTGTGGAGTAGATACTTGGAATGATGTTTTGGCAAAGATGTTGGAAACATGTTTGGCAATGGAGTTGGTGGGAAGGACTATGTATCTCTTCTCGGCAGTGTCTTCTCTGGGTGTGTTGAAGATGTTTTAGTGCTCGCCGTCTGCAGTCTCTGATGAAGTGACGAGGATAGTGGAGTTTGGAAAATACCTGTTCAATTATAGTGCATTCTTCCTCAAGGAACTCGTTTGCTGCAGATTCTGAGTGCACGCAGGAAGAAGCCTATAATTACACCACGTTTGGTTTTGGTGTCGTGGTGAGAGTAGAAGTGGAGAAGATCGTTTTGGTTGGTGGGTTTTCGATAGACTTTAAAACGAAGTTCGTGGTCAGCTTTGCAGAGTAGAACATCAAGGAAAGGAAGAGTGTTGTCGACCTCTTCTTCAAGTGTGAACTGGATTGAAGGCTCGACCTGGTTGAGCTTGTCTTGGAGAGCTTGAACGTTGAAGCGTTTAGGAGTTATGAGGAGAATGTCGTCAACATAACGGAGCCAGGTGACAGACGAAGGAATAATGGTGGAGAAATGTACGGCCTGCCAAAGACTCACAAGGCTGGTATCCCACTGAGGCCCATATCCTCGGGAATAGGCAGTGCTCCCCACAAGCTCTCAGGAATTCTCGCCAAACACCTCTCGAAACTCTTGGGCACTATCAGTCCAGCACATCTCAAACACTCAGGTGATCTTCTCAATCGCATTCGCAACATCAACATCAGGAACAAGAAACTTTCCAGCCTTGACGTGACTTCCCTATTCACTAAAGTACCTACTAAACAAGCCATCGATCTCTTGCGCAAGAAAATTGACGATTCACTTGATCTTCCCCATTCCAGCCAGCGACTTCATCGACCTGGTTGAACTATGAGTTGGCTTTACGTGTTTTCTCTTTGAAAATCACCTCTTCAGCAGACTTTTGGACTACCCATGGGTTCGCCACTCAGTGCAGTCCTAGCGAACCTATACATGGAACATCTAGAAGCCGAACGTTTCTCACACCATTATTCCTTCGTCTGTCACCTGGCTCCGTTATGTTGACGACATTCTCCTCATAACTCCTAAACGCTTCAACGTTCAAGCTCTCCAAGACAAGCTCAACCAGGTCGAGCCTTCAATCCAGTTCACACTTGAAGAAGAGGTCGACAACACTCTTCCTTTCCTTGATGTTCTACTCTGCAAAGCTGACCACGAACTTCGTTTTAAAGTCTATCGAAAAACCCACCAACCAAAACGATCTTCTCTCACTTTCTACTCTCACCACGACAACCAAAACCAAACGTGGTGTAATTATAGGCTTCTTCCTGCGTGCACTCAGAATCTGCAGCAACGAGTTCCTTGAGGAAGAATGCACTATAATTGAACAGGTATTTTCCAAACTCCACTATCTCGTCACTTCATCAGAGACTGCAGACGGCGAGCACTAAACATCTTCAACACACCCAGAGAAGACACTGCCGAGAAGAGATACATAGTCCTTCCCACCAACTCCATTGCCAAACATGTTTCCAACATCTTTGCCAAAACATCATTCCAAGTATCTACCTCCACAACCACGACCATCAAGGACATCACCAGTAGTAGGCAGGACAAGCCTCCATCCTCTGCAGGGGTATACATAATCCCTTGTAATGACTGCAACAAGTTATACGTGGCGAAACATCAAGGGACCTCCAAACACGTATTTCAGAACACCAATACGCAAGCAGGTCTGACGACACAAGGAATGCCTGCGTACAACACCGTAATTCACACAACCACTTGATAAACTACAGAAACTCAAGACTTATCGCCACAGAAGACAACACTCAATACCGAAGAATCCTGGAATCATCACTTATTTCTATATCCGACAACTTCAACCAGAATAGTGGCTTCTATAACATAGCTGAACCACTTGCCAAGAAACTTCTTCATCGCTATCCCACATAAGAACACTGTAGAAGGTCTGCTCACCAACTTGTCCAGTCTCCTTTCCAAGCTACCCAAGTTTTTAGACTCTACAACCCAACTCGGTACATCATCAGATGCAGCATTCTTCACCTGACCTCAGCCGGACTATAAATACTCGCGTTCCTTCCACCCCAGGTAGTTCTGTTTGTGACTTGAAAAAGCCCACTGTGTGGGCGAAACGTAGTCAATAAAGGATCACATTATACTGCATTTGTGTTTATATTGCCACATTGAGGTTACATTGAATGGTTTTACAATTTGGATGTTTACTGGTTGGTTACAATTATAGAAAAGAGTTTTATTACATACAGTAAAGCCCATTATTGTGCAAAACATTTAGCTTACTTAACTAATTATTTGCATAAATAATTAACTGTTTTACTTGGGGTATAGATTCTTCAGGTGATCCAAAATAATTCATAAATAACACAAATATTTGACCCGGCGACTCACAAGAATACAAAATCGCCGAAATGAAACGATATCTCGCAATAAATAAATATAGTGAAACACCGAAAAAAGAACACTTCATTACAAATATTTTTAAGACTGAATTAAGATACAAGTGATAGTAATAATACAAGAAAAGAGGGATAATGATGGGGAGTACATGTGTGTGGTGGCGTCGGCTGCAGCAGTGTTGTACACAATGTTCTCACTCACACCCAGGACGTTCCTTGCCAGGTATATTATTTTCCACTTTAAGCTCTTATTGCACTCCTTGACTCGATCACCGTGTGTGTGTGAGGGCTGGGAGGACAGGTGTATTGTATGGTGGCTATAGGTGTTGATCATGAGACAGTGTGTCAAATATCTAACACAGGGGCCTCAGTAAGGAAGTTCACAGCTGACCTAGAGACTGTTGATTGGCCTACAGAATTCTCCAAGGCCAATGGTATTGATGACTGGACAGACATTTTTCTTAACAAATCACTTAGACTATACAACAAACATTGTCCTATAAAAACAAAACAGATCACAAACAAACGGCTTGGTTGCCCATGGCTAACCAGCACCATTCTGAAATCCATTGACAAGAAACACCAATATGAAAAGCAATATAGACAAGGCTTAATACACAAAGATATTCTTAAACACTATTCATCAGCTCTCACCAAAGTAATAATGAAAGCCAAACAACTATACTACCAGTAGTTTCACAGACACTAGAGGAGATAAAAAAAAGACCTGGAAAACACACTCTCAGATTCTAGGGACCCACAACTGAGAAAAACCAAGAATATTGTCCTAACTAAACCAATGAAACACCACTACATCCCACTGACACAGCTAACAAGATAAACGACTTCTTCTCAACCATAGGATCAATCTCGCCAATAAAATCCCACATACCAGTGCCCATGCCGGGGACTACCTAGATGGGAATTTCCCAAATTCCTTCATCTTGCCCCAACTGAGCCCACGGAAGTCACCGAGATTATAAAGTCACTTAAAAATAACTCGGGGAATCTGTCTCATGTCCCACCATTACTGTACAAGTGAGCGGCCCATGTCCTTTCGCATGCTATTTCATTACTCTTTAACAGTCACTAGAGACTAGCACCTTCCCGAAACTACTCAAGATGGAAAAGGGTTACACCAATACATAAAGGTGGAGACCCTACAGACTTAAACAACTATAGGCCAATATCTAACTTACCATTGCTATCCAAAATCTTTGAGAAACTCGTGCCAGGAGACTGTATTCTTTTATAACGGCTAAAAAACATACTCAAACCCTCCCAATTCGGATTCAGGAAAAAATAAAAGCAATAATGATGGAATCATAAAAATGCTAGATCTGCTTACACAGCTTTGGGAAATAAGGAATATCCACTAGGAATTTTATTGACCTAAGAAAAGCTTTAGACACAGTAGACCACGACATCCTACTCCACAAACTTGATATTACGGTATAAGAGGCCATGCGCTTGCTTATTTCAAATCTTACATTACTAATAGGTATCAGTATGTCACCATTAAAGACACAGCATCAGCAACACGGCCACTTGTTTACTGGATTTTCCGCAGGGAAGTGTCCTTGGCCCCCTGCTCTTCTCATATACATCATGACCTTCCAAACGTATCCCAACACCTGAAACCCATTCTCTTTGCTGACGACACGACTTATGTCATCTCTCACCCTAATCTTGCCACCCTCAACACCACTGTGAATGAGGAGCTGATCAAAATATCGACTTGGATGACAGCCAATAAACTTACGCTTAACACTGACCAAACCCACTATATTATGTTTGGTAGCAGAGCAGGAGAGGGACAAATTAACATTAAGATTGACAACACACTAATTACCAAAATAATTTGGGGAAAATTTTTAGGCTTATACCTTGACAACAACCTGAATTTCAGCACCCATATCCAGCATATAAACCAAAAAAGTATCCAAAACGGTTGGGATCCTCTCCAAGATACGATACACGTGCCGCAAAATGCCCTTCTCACACTATACCACTCACTTTATTTAAACCATACCTCACCTATGCTTTTTTGTGCTTGGGGATCAACTGCAGCAACACACCTAAAGCCAATAATAACCCAACAAAAAGCTGCGTAAGAATAATCACTAAATCCCATCCCTGGCAACACACCCCCCACTTTCATAGACCTAAAATTTCTCCTGTTCAGTACTCCACCTTACTACTGTGCAATCTACATCTACAGGGCCTTAAAAATCTATATCAACCTTGGGCCTAAAATGCTTTCTTGATAGTTGTGGGCAGAACCCACAGGCATAACACCAGCACAAAACATCTCTACGACATCCGTGTCCGACTAAACCTTTACAAAAATTTTAATGTATGTCAAAGGCCCTAAAATCTGGAATACCCTACCTGAGAACTCTAGAACTGCAGACACATTCATCACCTTCAAAACTACCATTAGAAAACATCTTATCTCCCTGATACACCCGTCCCAAATAACTACACGAATACCACCTGGTGGTTCACACTTACACTCACTGACTCATTTGACCATAACAGAAATATTAATCTCAATCTTAAAATAATGAATCCTGTGATACTCCAATACTGAAACTATGTACTGTGCCAAAACAAAAGCATTTACATTGCTAAACTCACAAACTAGTATTTAGTCACTTAGCCATAATACCAACTTACCTCATAATTTGTAATATTTTACAATTAAGAATAAAACTAAGTCTGCCCGAAATGCCTAGCCATGCTAAGCGTTCTAGTGGTACACTCTGTAATCACTATTTTACTACATGTAAACCACACAATAACCAAATTTCTGTAAACTCAGCATTGTAATCCTTATAGAGAATAAACTTTGAATTTGAATTTGAATTTGAATATAGACCTACACGTAGGAGTGTGTTCAGGTGTAATTACAATTCTTTTTGTATGAGTTACAACTTTTTATTTGCATATGTGTGTAAATTACCTAAGGTAACCTCCCAAAAAAATCCAGTGATTTATTTCGACTGGGGAGAGAGAGAGCTAAATAGTACCGTAGTTCATCGTATAAATTTCGAGTTTATTTCAAATAAGAACATAAGAACGAAGGAACACTGCAGCAGGCCTACTGGCCCATTCGAGGCAGGTCCAAGTCTCCTACCGGCTTAAGCCAATGCACCCAACCTAGTCAGGTCAGGTCACATTGACTTAAGGGAGGAACACGGCAATCGTCCTGGTAGCACAAGCTAGTCAGGTCCAACTCACACCCACCCACACCCACACATGTATTTATCCAACCTATTTTTAAAGCTACACAACGTTCTGGCCTCTATAACTGTACTTGAGAGTTTGTTCCACTCATCCACAACTCTATTACCAAACCAGTACTTTCCTATATCCTTCCTGAATCTGAATTTTTCCAACTTAAAACCATTGCTGCAAGTCCTGTCTAGGCTAGATATTTTCAGCACACTATTTACATCCCCTTTATTTATTCCTGTCTTCCATTTATACACCTCAATCATATCCCCCTTAATTCTACGTCTTTCTAGAGAGTGAAGATTCAGGGCCCTTAGTCTATCCTCATAGGGAAGGTTTCCGATACATGGGATCAATTTTGTCATCCTCCTTTGTACATTTTCCAGAGCATTTATATCCATTCTGTAATACGGTGACCAAAACTGTGCAGCATAATCTAAATGAGGCCTAACCAAGGATGTATAGAGTTGAAGAACAACCTGAGGACTCCTATTATTTATGCTTCTTGATATGAAGCCAAGGATTCTATTAGCTTTATTGCAAACACTTATGCACTGTTGTCTTGGTTTCAGATTACTGCTAACCAGAACTCCTAAATCTTTTTTGCAATCTGTAATATTAAGATCTACATTATTTAGTTTATGTGTGGCATGGTTATTGTCCTGTCCAACATTTAGAACTTGGCATTTGTCTATATTAAACTGCATCTGCCACTTCTCCGACCACTGCATCAGTCTATTCAAATCTTCCTGCAAATGCGAAATATACACAAAAATATGCAATAGTCAGAAAGTACATATGATGCACAGCATTTGGGGTAAAACTTAAGACTAATAACCCGTATGGGTTTAGTGCTTAGTTGTGATTATAATAATGGGCAGGTGTCCAGTGGCTCAGTTGGTAGTGCACTTACCTGACATACTGTGTGTCAGTGGTTCGATTCCCAGGGACATTGGGCATGTTTGATCCCGGAAACTTTGGAAATGTTTCCATACACCTGCTGTCCCTGTTCACCTAGCATTTAGTAGGTACCTGGGTGTTAGTCGACTGGTGTGGGTTGCATCCTGGGAGGCAAAAAACCAGTGGAAATATGACAGTCCCCAATGACACGCAGACTTTATTGGGTTGTTATTGTGAGTGGCTAACCATCCATGTTAAAAATCCTTAATTCATAAAAAAAATGTGATTGTCCAGTTGTAAAAGGGTGAGTGGAACTAATTTATGCACTTGCAGTGTAATGCAATACATAAGTTATCAGAATTATTTCAGTAGACATGGATATAAGAAGTTAAGTACAATGATTATTTTATTTAAAATTCTCAGTACAACAGCTGTATCTGAATGAAAGAGGTTGAAACATGTTGCAATATATTGGAGTAGAAAAAATGCAAAGAAGTACAGGAGGATGAATAATACATGAAAACTGAATAAGCAGGTTTCAAGATGTGTTGAGAACATTGAATATTGCTGTCATGAATCACATTAAGGTATACATGGAATGCAGGTACCTTAATGATGGTGAATGGCTCTTGATACAAAGAATTGGAGTCAACATCTTTCTTGGATCACATGCTCGGATTATTAATCATTTCTCAGGTGCTCCATGACTACTATGGCCTTAGCACTTCCCCTTGAATATAATTGCATATTAATACAGTGTTTTTAATAAACAAATGTATATATAACTGGTATACTGTATTCTAGTGGTGAAATATGCTAACTTAACCAAATGTAACCTAATAGAAATACATCACATTTGACTTTTTTTTTTTTTAGTTACCCAAGGTTAAATCTCCATAATTTGCTACCAGTATATACCTATAATAATTGTTTTTATTTATTGCAGCTCTTACATAGCTATATAATTGATTTACCAGCCTGGACATTGTCAGATAACCCATTCCAGTTTTTTTATAACAGTCCAGAAACGGTTATTTCATTTCTGGCCACCTGCTGCAGGTAATATAAAATTATGTACACTTTAACTTATTTCAATATTGATTTTGGTTCTTAACCTATACAAAATTTGTGGTAAAATATTCTGGACACTGGTTGTTAGGAATTTTGTAGACATGTTTTGGTTTGTGAGGTTGAGACTATTTGCCACTTTTAATACAGTGGACCCCCGGTTAACGATATTTTTTCACTCCAGAAGTATGTTCAGGTGCCAGTACTGACCGAATTTGTTCCCATAAGGAATATTGTGAAGTAGATTAGTCCATTTCAGACCCCCAAACATACACGTACAAACGCACTTACATAAATACACTTACATAATTGGTCGCATTCGGAGGTGATCGTTATGCGGGGGTCCACTGTATTTCCAATTTCTGTAGTTCATGCATACCCAGGATGAATTTTATTATCTCAGTTTTAAAATGCATATGTACTTCTAACAAGAATAAAGACAAAGACACATCTAGCAGAACAAGGATTTTATAAATTAATGTAAAAATCAGATTAATGTATTTTGCAGCATATAAGGCACACTTCCCCCCCCCCAAAAAAAAAAAAAGCCTTGGAAAATCACCCTGTGCCTTATATGCTCAAGGTCAGGGTCAAGGGTAGGCTTTGGGTTACACTTTAGCAGTTGTTTACTAACATTACGTTACAACTGCTTGGAAACATTGTCTTATATGTCTTATATACTCGTGTGCCTTATATGCTGGAAAATATGGTAGTTTCTAGAATATTATTATTATAATCAAAAAGAAGCACTAAACCTACAAGGGAGGTAGTTTCTAGAAAAGTTGAAAATGCATAGTTTGATGGAAAAATGTACTGTAGCTATATCAGTAAGTGAAATGCACTACTGTATTATATTTTTTTTTGTTTTCAGGAGATGTGCAACTGTAATAGTGCGATTATGTTCAGGAGGAGAGGTGGGGCCTGGCAATTTTCCACCTATCACCAAAGTGTCCTTAAGCAAACCTGTCCAATGGCTTCCACCACCAGTGTATGCTACAGTATCAAGTACACCTTCCGAAACCAAGGTCACAACTCTAGAAAATGGCCTTCGTGTTGCTTCTGAACCAAAATTTGGAAATTTTTGCACTGTTGGAGGTGATGATGTATATATATTCTTATATTATCCTATGATAGTGTTATGTTTGATGTTCTTTGTACATTACTGTACTTATTAATTTTGGCATTTCTTTTACATGTTATGTTACTGTATATTTTTATGACCTACTCTTTCATGCCTTTTACTTATCAATAAATATTTTACTCTTCATCCCAGCTCTGCTGCCAACATCAGCAGCATCTCTTCCAAACTTATCAATACCACTCCTGTATAATGTGGCTGCTTCCACTTTTGAATTCAGATGTGCTATATATATTAGAATCACATCTTTCAAACACTCAGGCTTTTACTTCTCTTCCATCCCCATCTGCAAGTACATTAAGCAACCATTGTGGCACTGTGTTGGTGGTGTCATTATCAGAAACTTTTCCTCTCATACACAGCTTGACCTGTGCCTTGTTACTTTCATAAGTCCCTTTTTACAGCCTTCAACTCTTGCTATTTATTGAGTATATACATTTGCAACACATCCTAAAATGCTCCCTGACTCACCCTGTCGTTTGCCCTTTTATTATCAAAGTGAGTATATATGGTATTGCTTTATTGTATATTTCAGTACAAACATTGGATCCATACCTTCCTTTGTATTTTACCAATCACTTTATCAGTCAGAATTGTCACTGTTATTTGCTGTTTTTTTTTTTTTTTTCTTTTTTTTTTTTGCACACTTTTACCGTGCTTTTTAACATTAATTCTATTCCATGCAATCTGCCTTGTTTTATTTTTAAACTACAGAAAACTAAAGTATCTCCCCAAATTGTACAGGATTTCACCTGTACACATTATTGTTATAGAGATATTGATACTTCTAGAAAGTGCATTACATTCTGTGGTTATACGTTCCTATAGCTGTCATTTTGAATTTCTTTTATACTTTTATACTCTTTTTCTATGTTCACTTTCAACTTTCTACCTTTACACACACTCTCAAACTCATCCACTAACCTTGGCAATTTTTCTTTAGAATCTCCCATAAGCACAGTATCATCAGCAAAAAGCAACTGTCAATTCCCATTTTGTATTTGATTCCCCATAATTTAATCCCACCCCTCTATCGAACACCCTATCATTTACTTCTTTTACAACCCCATCTATAAATATATTAAACAACCATGGTGACATTACACATCCCTGTCTAAGACCTACTTTTACCGGGAAGTAGTCTCCCTCTCTTCTACACACCCTAACCTGAGCCTCACTATCCTCATAAAAACTCTTTAGGATACTGAGGCTCAGGTTAGGGTGTGTAGAAGAGAGGGAGACTACTTCCCGGTAAAAGTAGGTCTTAGACAGGGATGTGTAATGTCACCATGGTTGTTTAATATATTTATAGATGGGGTTGTAAAAGAAGTAAATGCTAGGGTGTTCGGGAGAGTGGTGGGATTAAATTATGGGGAATCAAATACAAAATGGGAATTGACACAGTTGCTTTTTGCTGATGATACTGTGCTTATGGGAGATTCTAAAGAAAAATTGCAAAGGTTAGTGGATGAATTTGGGAGTGTGTAAAGGTAGAAAGTTGAAAGTGAACATAGAAAAGAGTAAGGTGATGAGAGTATCAAATGATTTAGATAAAGAAAAATTGGATATCAAATTGGGGAGGAGGAGTATAGAAGAAGTGAATGTTTTCAGATACTTGGGAGTTGATGTGTCGGCGGATGGATTTATGAAGGATGAGGTTAATCATAGAATTGATGAAGGAAAAAAGGTGAGTGGTGCATTGAGGAATATGTGGAGACAAAAAACATTATCTGTGGAGGCAAAGAAGGGAATATATGAAAGTATAGTAGTACCAACACTCTTATATGGGTGTGAAGCTTGGGTTGTGAATGCAGCAGCGAGGAGGCGGTTGGAGGCAGTGGAGATGTCCTGTCTAAGGGCAATGTGTGGTGTAAATATTATGTAGAAAATTCGGAGTGTGGAAATTAGAAGGTGTGGAGTTAATAAAAGTATTAGTCAGAGGGCTGAAGAGGGGTTGTTAAGGTGGTTTGGTCATTTAGAGAGAATGGATCAAGGTAGAATGACATGGAGAGCATTTAAAACTGTAGGGGAAGGAAGGTGGGGTAGGGGTCGTCCTCGAAAAGGTTGGAAGGAAGGGGTAAGGGAGGTTTTGTGGGCGAGGGGCTTGGACTTCCAGCAGGCGTGTGTGAGCGTGTTTGATAGGAGTGAATGGAGACGAATGGTATTTGGGACCTGACGATCTGTTGGAGTGTGAACAGAGTAATATTTAGTGAAGGGATTCAGGGAAACCGGTTATTTTTATATAGTCGGACTTGAGTCCTGGAAATGGGAAGTACAATGCCTGCACTCTAAAAGAGGGGTTCGGGATATTGACGGTTTAAAGGGATATGTTTTGTATCTTTATACGTATATGCTTCTAAGCTGTTGTATTCTGAGCACTGCAAAAACAGCGATTATGTGTGAGTGAGGTGGAAGAGTTGAATGATGATGAAAGTATTTTCTTTTTGGGGATTTTCTTTCTTTTTGGGTCACCCTGCCTCGATGGGAGACGGCCGACTTGTTAAAAAAAAAAATTAAATATGGAACATCTGCATATAAAAAAAGGTGATGTAAAATACCTTTGTCTTTCTTTGCTCATTATTAAAACTTGGATGTTGGCTGATTTTTCCTGTTTTTTTTTTTTTTTTTTTTTTTTTGTTTTTTTGTTTTATCTGTATTTACTTAACTAGCAGCCAACTTAACTTCTTTGGTGTGAATTATAAAATCTTTTTCTTTTAACGCACCAGCCGTATCCCACCGAGGCAGGGTGGCCCAAAAAGAAAAACAAAAGTTTCTTTTTAAATTTAGCAATTTATATAGGAGAAGAGGTTACTAGCCCCTTGCTCCCGGCATTTTAGTCGCCTCTTACAACACGCATGGCTTACGGAGGAAGAATTATGTTCCACTTCCCCATGGAGGAATTATAAAATTATAAAATATTTTTACTAAAAAAAATTCTTATTATGCTTTTCACTTTTTCAGTTATTGTTGACAGTGGCAGCAGGTATGAAGTTGCATATCCAAGTGGAATCTCGCATTTTTTAGAAAAATTGTCTTTTGGGGTAAGGATAAATAAGTTAAACTGGTAATCAAACACATTGGCCATATCCCATCAAGGTAGGGCGACCCAAAAGTGGGAACATTCTCCATCACCTATTCAGTAACTGTCTTGTCAGAAGCACATAGACAGCAATATTTAAAGCCCATGTCTCACCTATACAAAAAGAATTTGCACAGCAAACCCTCGATTTAGTGGACTAATACAGAGGAGCAGGTGAGCAGTAATGGCGATTATGGTTATAGTTTATAGTCAAAATTAATTCGTCTATCATAACAGTTTACCTGGAGTTTACCTGGAGAGAGTTTCGGGGGTCAACGCCCCCGCGGCCCGGTCTGTGACCAGGCCTCCTGGTGGATCAGCGCCTGATCAACCAGGCTGTTGCTGCTGGCTGCACGCAAACCAACGTACGAGCCACAGCCCGGCTGATCAGGAACTGACTTTAGGTGCTTGTCCAGTGCCAGCTTGAAGACTGCCAGGGGTCTGTTGGTAATCCCCCTTATGTGTGCTGGGAGGCAGTTGAACAGTCTCGGGCCCCTGACACTTATTGTATGGTCTCTTAACGTGCTAGTGACACCCCTGCTTTTCATTGGGGGGATGGTGCATCGTCTGCCAAGTCTTTTGCTTTCGTAGTGAGTGATTTTCGTGTGCAAGTTCGGTACTAGTCCCTCTAGGATTTTCCAGGTGTATATAATCATGTATCTCTCCCTCCTGTGTCCATAATTTCCAAATCAGTTGACCAAGCAGATTTTTCCCTGTATTTCCAAAGTCCATCAAATCAAGGTCCATTAAAATGAGGGTTTGCTGTAAAACTATACTCTGGTACATTACTCTCTCTTTTTGCCTCAATGTACTCCTACCTTTTTTTCTTAGTTCTCTTCTGTGGTTCACCTATTCTTTCATAGACCAGTATGTCGACACATTCTCTGCCAAATATTTAAATATGTTGTCTTTCTCCTTTCAACCAATATCCAATTTTTCATTGCCTAAACTTTTTGTTATTCTCATGCACTTTTCTGTGTTTGTTAAATATCTTTCCTTTACACATCTTCCCAAATTTGTTCACCAATCTTTAAAATCACCTAAAAGAACTGTACTATGAACAGAGAGCAACCGTAACAACTCCCATTTTGTATCATATTCTTATCTTTTAATTCCACACCTCTCCCCAACATCCTAGCATTTACTTATTTTATAACCTGTTTATAAATATTGTATACTAAACAATTATGGTGACATCACATACCCCTGTCTAATGCCTACTTTTATTGAAAAAGTCCCCTTCATTCCAACTTATCCTAACCTGAGCCTCACTCTCCTCCTAAGAACTCTACTGCTTTTAGTGATGTACAGTAGGGCCCCGCTTTACGGGATTTTGCCTTACGGCATTCTGCTCATAGGGCAATTTCAAATTATGACCAAAACTTGCTATACGGCTCCTGGTCTTTCTAATACAGCGTGCCCCACCCGGTTTGTTTACATTCTCTGTGAGCACATATCTTTATTAAGTCTGGAAACTTTACAAAATTTCAAGTGTTTTAAAGTTATTGCATATTTTATATGTACTCTGATAATTATACTTATGTGTCCTGTACCTAAATGTACTTACACACTGTGCTGGCGTGCAGGTACGCATTCAAATCGCTAAGATTCTATCTACTCTTGACACCACATTAATAATAATATGTACGTGTAATCTCCTTGGCGCATTAAATGTCGTATATTACGTTAATGTAGACATTTCCTTTAATCCATCTATGATATTTTTTCGAAATATATAATAAACACATTACATAACATATAAACATGATAAATACACCCAGCAGTAGAATAAATTAACATAAATATGAGATGTGGTAGCCAGGTGACTTGTAGGACTTGTGGTAGCCAGGCAACTTGTAGTCCAACATCAGAGAAAATGTGTACACTATAATATTACTGGGGGTAACTAGAAAATTATTCCTTTCATATGCCTTCACTCAGTGTCATTTATTCTACTGTATCAATGTGGAGACAACTTGTACACAATGTAAAGTGTTTGTATTATGGTATAATACAAACGTGTATGAATGAAAACCAGACCCGTTCACCTGGTTTGTTTACGATACGTGTGGGTAGAGTGGGGCAGAGAGGGCTTCCCTGGCTGGCTACCATACTTCCTAAACCTGACTTCCTACAAATAAAACTCGCCTCTCACCCTACATTAAGACTAAAGATATTTTAAGGTAATTAATGAATGTACTGTATATACACAGTGGACCCCCGGTTATCGCCCATAATCCGTTCCTGAAGGTCGGCCAATAACCAAAATGGCCGATAACCGAATCAGTATTTCCCATAAGAATTAATGGAAATAAAATTAATTCGTTCCAAACAAAAATATTCACAAAAAACAAAAATAATTTTTTTTTACAATTATGTAAGTATTACATACCTTTATTGAAGGCTAATGCTGGCTTCTGGAAGATAGGGAGGAGTTAGTGCTTGGAAGGGGAATCCCCCTCCATGAAGACCTTAGGTAGCAATGCCTTCTCTGGGGTTACTTCCCTTCTCTCTTTTAATGCCACAAGGACCAGCTTGAGAGTCTCTGGACCCCTGTCTCACAAAATAACTGTCCAGAGTGCTCTGTTTCTGGCATCTCTAAGATTTCCCTGAAGTGGGACAGGGTTTTGTCACTAAGCGTGTTGTAGATATGGCTTGTTTTAGCTTTGTCAGGGTGGTGTTTCTCTACAAAAGCTTGCACCCTGGTCCACATTGCACACACCTCTTTAATCTCTGAAGAAGGCACCTCCTTCACTCCCTCTTCCTCCTCCTCTGAAGCAAGTTCCTCAGCTGCAGTCTGTTGCTGTTCAGATTGAAGCTCTTGCAGCTCTTCATTGGTAAGCTCTTCCCTGTGGTCCTCCACCAACTCTTCCACATCCTCACCACTCGCCTCCAACCCCAGGGACTTCCCCGAAGACACAATAGAGTCCACAGGGTCGGCAGGGTCAGGGTCACGGTGAGTCTCAAACCCTTCAAAATCCCTCTCTTGGACACAATCTGGCCGCAGTTTCCTCCAGAGTTAAAAGTCGTGGAAGTCACTCCCTCCCAAGCCTTACCTATAAGGCTTATGCAATGGAGGATAGTGAAGTGATTCCTCCAGAACTCTCTTAGGGTCAGCTGAGTGTCCGAGGTCACTTCAAAGCACTTTTGAAACATTGCTTTTGTGTAGAGTTTTTTGAAGTTAGAAATGACCTGCTGGTCCATGGGCTGGAGGAGAGGAGTGGTGTTAGGAGGCAAGAACTTCACTTTTATAAAACTAAAGTCCCTAAACACTTGGTCTTCCAAGCCTGGAGGATGTGCAGGAGCATTGTCCAGTAACAGGAGGCACTTGAGTGGCAGTTTCTTTTCCAAGAGGTATTTTTTCACACTTGGGCCAAACACATCATTAACTCACTCTTTGAAAATTTGCCTTGTGACCCATACCTTATGATTAGCTTTCCACATCACACACAGTTTATTCTTCATGACATTGTTTTTCTTAAACACGCTGGGATTTTCCGAGTGATACACAAGTAAAGGCTTCACTTTGAAATCCCCACTTGCATTACCACACAGCAAAAGAGTAAGCCTGTCTTTCATAGGCTTGTGTCCTGGCAGTGCCTTTTCCTCCTGGGTAATGTAGGTCCTGTTTGGCATTTTCTTCCAAAACAGGCCTGTTTTGTCACAATTGAAAACTTGTTGGGATTCGAATCCTTCAGCCTTTACATGGTCCTGGAATTCGCGAACATACTTTTCAGCCACACATTTGTCAGAACTTGCAGCCTCACCATGCCTTACAACACTGTGTATGCCACTACGCTTCTTAAATCTATCAAACCATCCTTTGCTGGCCGTAAATTCACAAACTGCAGCACTTGTTCCAGGCATTTTCTTTGCAAGATCCTCGTGCAACTGCTTTGCCTTCTCACAAATGATCGACCCCACTACATTGTTTCCCACTAATTCTTTTGCCTTAATACACAATAATAATAACTTTTCCATCTCTTCAATTATCGGTGTCCTTTGTTTAGTTAGAAAAGCTACTCCTTTTGCAACATTAGCATCTTTGATTTGTTCTTTCTTTGCCAGGATGGATGTAATTGTTGATTTATTCTTGCTGTACATCCTGGCAAGTTCCACCACCTTCATACCACTCTCAAACTTTTCTATCACTTCATGCTTAAATTCCATGGTGTTTCTCACTTTCTTTACCACAGGAACTTTACTAAGAACTTTCTTTGGAGCCATGGTTACTTATTTCACAGTTGCACTGCAAGAAAAACCACTAAAAACAATGGTAAACAAGCGAAATGTTTGGATGTATGAGCAGAAGCTTCCTCAGCCACCGAGAGACAAAGCCAAACTGAAGCGCAAGCTGCCCCAGCCGGCGGATGGTCGCATCCAAAACAGCCTATAACTGAGCGCTGAAAACTCCGCCGATAACCGAGTTGGCCAATAACCAAACCGGCCGATAACCGGGGGTCCACTGTATCTTAGTGCTCTGGGGCCCTTGAATTAAATGTCATAGTATATTACGTGTGGGTGGGGTGAGGTGGGCTGGGCTGACCTGGCTGGCTACATACCTCGCAAACCTAACTTCCTACAAATCAAACTCATCTCTCACCTTACATTAAGACTACAGATACTTCAAGGTAAGTAATGGGTGTACTGTGTGTGTATTTTACTTTTAATGTTTTTAATGCCTAGTTCTATTGCTAACTTAATATATTAGTGTAAACTTGTTATCTGGCATTTATATGCATTTATAAGTGAAAAAAATGGCATTCTGCTTTCCAGCAGTAGCCTGGAACCTAACCTGCAGTATAAATGGGGCCCTACTGTATTGTCTTTCTCATACATTTGGAATTTCTGCCACATTGCTGCCCTATCCACCCTATCATATGCCTTTTTTTTAAATCAACAAATGCTGTAAACCATTATTGTTCACTGGCATGCTTTAGTGTAAACATTTGATCTACACATTCTGTACCCTTCATACATTCTCCTTGTTTCCTTGCAATCCAACTTTTTGTCTTACATCTTGATTCTTTCAATAATAATATGTTAATATAAAAAATATGGCTTGAAAATTTTAATTGCTCTAAGAATTAAGAAACAAAAATTTAAATACAGTCTCTCCTCACTTAACAACGGAGTTCCGTTCATAAGACCACTCCAGTAAATGAATTCGTCGCTAAGTGAGGAGCATACTATAATGGTAGTGAGTTTGTGTCAACCATCTTTGATATTGTTATAGTGTCACCTTTGCACCATTTATAACATTTCTGGTATATTTTTAAATGTTTATACACTAGTGTACTGTTTATTGAAATAAACAGAATAGAAGAAATCGGCTCTAATCTGCATTCTTTAGGTATGAATACTGGTCAGAGAGCCTGTCGTAAGTCCGAGGCATCGTCGCTAAGTGAGGAGAGGCTGTACAAGATATCAATTATGTAATGATCGTTCATTCGTAGTTTAATGCTATTCAGTAATCTTTTACGTATAGAGCACCTAGAGAAATAATGCAAAAAAAGGAATGTGCAAATCGAGACCATTAACAAATATGAAAATCTGGTGCAACCTCTCCCCTTATGGAGCCATATAAACAGTGAGCTACTGTGCTGACCTACCCTTCAAAGGTGCCTTGATGCTGGGAAAAGACTCTTGATCCAAAAAATTTGAATTAAGCTCATTTTCCTTGACTCAGATATAGTTGCCTTCCATTCCCCAAATGCTAAATTAAGCACTAGCCCCTGTACTTATTACTTCTCATTCCCCCAGTATTGTATAGCCTCTACTACAGATTTAGTACTTCCTCATGCATATAATAATAAGGATAATGTGTTCTGCTATGAATGCAAGAAACGTCAATAAAGTAGCAGATTTATACATTATAGTACACTGTTCATTTTGCAGAGTACCCGAAATATGAGCCGGGAGAAGATAATGGGAACGTTTGAAAAACTTCGGAGGAATCTGTGACTGCCAGTCATCAAGGTAATTTCTTATTTCATATATGTATAATTTTAAGGTGCAAGCTAGAACTATATCACTTGTGTACTAAACTTCTATTTATTTTATTTTCATTATTTTGAGACTTTTCTCATTAAAGTAGGTCCCCCACTGTAGACTACCAAATATTTTAAATACACTGTTCCTTTGCACATATAAATATTAACCCTTAAACTGTCCAAACGTAGATCTACGTTTGTGCGCGTAGCGCTCCGGCCTTGATTTTCTCCATAAGAAAGCATGTAAAAAAAACGTAGGTCTGCGTTCGGAGCACTACGCGAGTGAACGTAGATGTACGTTTGGACAGTTTAAGTAAGGGTTAAACACAGTTTAATATATACCTAGTAATTAAGAAGAATAGAGCTGCAATATAGTATAGTGAAGATATGTAGGGCAGGCAGCTGGCCTGTCTTAGAAACAGGAGGAGGGGTGGAATAAGGGTAGCAAACTCCTGCTATCCTGCTCCTTCTTGCACTATGTCCAGTACATAGGTAGTAGGAAGTTGGTGTAAGCTGCCTAACACTGGTGTCAGTGACAACTATGCATCAGCAAGCATTTTTTATACCCGTGTTTGTTTTCTATCTGGTTATTCTTTTTTATGAATGTTGTTATAAACCAGCTTAAATTGGTAGTCAACCATAAAATTTTATTCAAAATATACTTGTTGGATTTTTCCCAAATGGTTTTGGGTGAATATTATGCAGAGAATTCTTAGTTTGGAGATTAGGAGGTGTGGGGTTACTAAAAGTATTATCCAGAGGGTTCAAGAGGGATTGTTAAGGTGATTTAGACATTTTGAGAGGATGGAACAAAGTTGGATGACTTGGAGGGCATATAAATCCATAGTGGAAGGAAGGCTGGGTATGGGTCATCCTAGGAAAGATTGGAGGGACGGGGTAAAAGAGTTTTTTTATGCAAGGGGCTTAGATATCCAGCAAGCATGTGTGTGTGTTTTAGGAGTGAATAGACATAAGTGGTTTTACGACTTGATGTGCTGTTGGTGTGAGCAAGGTAACATTTGTGAAGGGAATGAGGGAAACCAGTTACCAGACTCAAATCCTGAAGGTGGAAAGTACAGTGCCTGCACTCTGAAGGATGGGTGGGGATATTTACAGTTTTGAACTGTAGTTTCAGCATGTCTGTGACAAGATAGTGATGGAGGGAACTATGGTGAAAGTGTTTCTTCTTTTTTCAGGTCACCTACCTTGGTGGGAGATGGTCTGCGTTGAAAAAAAAAAAATAGGAAGACATTAAAAAAAAAAAGCAAATGTAAATACAGGAGGGCCTCATTTGTACAGCTAGGCATAAAAAAATAGATAATAAAATAAATACACAGTACATACAGTATACTTACCTTAAAATATGGTGCCTGACGCCAAGACAGCCAAGACAGGACTCGCAGCAATGGTTTCAAGTTGGAAAAATTCAGATTCAGGAAGGATATAGGAAAGCACTGGTTTGGTAATAGAGTTGTGGATGAGTGGAACAAACTCCCGGGTACAGTTATTCAGGCTAAAACGTTGTGTAGTTTTAAAAATAGGTTAGATAAATACATGAGTGGGTGTGGGTGGGTGGGAGTTGGACCTGACTAGCTTGTGCTGCTGGATCTGGTGCAGTGCTCCATCCTTGAGTGGAGGTGACCAGACTGGGTGGGTCATTGGGCTAATCCGGGGGGGGGGGGTCATTGGTCTAATCCGGGGGGGACATGGACCTGCTCTGCATGGGTCAATAGGCCCGTTGCAGTGTTCCTTCTTTCTTATGTTATGTTTTTTACGCAACTGTTGTACGAAAATGATGGTAAAGTGACAAAAACAGCGAACATAATAAAAAGTGGCTCAATTGAAAGCTAACGAAAACATGGAACACCAAGAAGAGGGTGCTGTATATGCGGGTCCCTTCTGTATATACTCCCGGGTATCAAAAGAGCAAAAATATGTTTTGTAAGTCATTACAGCCTCTCCTCACTTAGTGATGTACTCGTTTACTGACGACTCCAACTTACAATGGGCTCTTTGACCAGTATGAAAACCTAAATAATGTGTATTAGAGCTGATTTCCTTTATTCTTTTTATTACAATATACAGTATAGTACTGTACAGATACAGTGGACCCTCGAGTTTCAGCAGCCCCGACTTTCGTGAAATTCGACCTTCGGCGAGTTTTTTTTGGCAAAATTTGGCCTCGAGTTTCGTGATTAGACTTGTGTTTCGGCGACCGTCCGGTACCTGTCCACTCGTCACCACGCACACCAAGCCAGTCTCCCACACCATTCACGCTCAGTGTGCCATTGTTTACCAACACATGACCATCACCCCGCGGGTTCATACAATACATTTCATAATAATCCATTGTTTTTTGTGCTTGCAACTGCTAAATAAGTCATCATGGACCCAAGGAAAGCTAGTGCAAGCCCTTTGGCAAATAAAGTGAGGAACACGATCCAGAGGGATTTTGAAGGGTTTGAGGCAGACCCTGTCCCTGCCGACCCTCTGCCTGTTGTGGAAGGTGTTGTGGCATTGGGCAAGTCCATGGGGTTGGAGGTGAGTGAAGGGGATGTGGAAGAGTTGGTGGAGGACCACAGGGAAGAGCTAACCACTGACGAACTGCAAGAGCTTCAACTGGAACAGCATCAGACCACAGCCGAGGAACTTGCTTCAGAGGAGGAGGAAGAGGGAGTGGATGAGGTGCCTTCTTCAAAGATTAAGGAGATTTGTGCCAAGTGGAATGAGTTTCAAAGTTTTGTTAAAAAGTATCACCCTGACCAAGCTGAAACAAGCCATATCTGCAACATGTACAATGACAGTGTTGTGTCCCACTTCAGGAAAATCTTAAAGAAACGCCAGAAAAAGACCTCTCTGGACAGATATTTTGTGGGACAGGGGTCCAGTGACTCTCAAGTTGTTCCCAGTGGCATTAAAAGAAGAAGGGAAGTAACCCTAGATAAGGACTTGCTACCTAAAGTCCTAATGGAAGGAGATTCTCCTTCCAAACAATAGTGTACACCTTCCTCCTATCCCCTCCTCCCGTCTTCCATCCACCCAGAAGTCTTCAGTAAAGGTAAGTGTAATGTTGTTATTATTTTTTATATGCATGTACTTGATTTCTCATTGATTTCAGTATATAAATCTTTATTTAATTTGAAAAAAAAAAAATTATTTTAATATTTTTGGGTGTCTGGAACGGATTAATTTCATTTCCATTATTTCTTATGGGGAAAATGGTTTCAAGTTTCTTGAATTTCGACTTTCGGCAGGCTCTCTGGATTGGATTAATCACGAAACTCGGGGGTCCACTGTATTTTAAAAATATACCAGAAATGTTATAAATGGTACAAGGTGACATTAAAACAATATCAGAGATGGTTGACACAAACCCACTACCATTATAGTATGCTCCTCACTTAGTGACAAATTTGTTTACCGATGTGGTCTTAGGAACAGAACTCCATCATTAAGTGGGGAGAGGTTAGGTTGTGTTTATTTGGAAAATGCCAGTACAGTGGACCCTTATTTTTTGTAAGCGTTGGAAGTTGTAATTTTTGCAAATCGTAAAGTTTTTCGTCAAAATACTGACTCGCGAATCTTTGTTTGACTCAAATAGTCATACGTTCCAGATGCATACAAGTGGCCCCGAGCGGCCCCACACAGCATTCACAGTCAATGTGCCATTGTTTATCAGCGAGTGAGCATGATCCCACACGTTCATACAATACATTTCATAATATTCCATTCGTTTTAGTGCTTGCAACTGCTAAATAAGCCACCATGGGCCCAAAGAAAGCTCTTAGTGGCAGCCCTTTGGGAAAGAAGGTGAGAAACATGATAGAATTCAAGAAACATCATTGAAAAATATGAAAGTGGAGCACGTGTGGCAGAACTTGCCAGGAAACCCCATACAGCCATTGCTTCCATAAAGGCCAAGAAAAAGGAAATCTAGGAAGCTGTTGTTGCAAAAGGGGTAAATATGCTTACAAAAATGAGATGCAAGTACTCGAAGATGTTGAGAAGTTATTGTTGGTGTGGATCAACGAGAAACATTTAGCAGGAGATAGTGTTATGCAGTCGATAATTTGTGAAGAGGCAAGGCAGTTGCATGCTGATCTCGTAAATAAAATGCCTGCAACAAGTGCTGGTGTTAGTGAATTTAAGGCCAGCAAAGGCTGGTTTGAGAGATTTAAAAAGCATAGTGGCATACACAGTGTGGCAAGACATGGTGAGGCTGCCAGTTTTGACAAATATGCGGCTGAAAAATACGTGCATGAATTCAAGGGGTACATAGAGGCTGAAGAATTCAAACCCCAACAAGTGTTCACTTGTGACGAAACGGGCCTCTTTTGGAAAAAAATGCCAAAGAGGACCTACATCATGCAGGAGGAAAAGGCACAGCCAAGACACAAGCCTATAAAAGTATGAAAGACAGGCTTACTCTTTGGCTCTGTAGTAATGCTAGTGGGGATTTCAAAGTGAAGCCTTTACTGGTGTAACACTGAAAATCCCAGTGTTCCAGAAAAACAGTGTTGCCAAGACTAATTTGTGTGTGATGTGGAAAGCAAACAGTAAGGCATGGGTCACAAGGGAAATTTTCCTTGATTGGTTCAATGAAGTGTTTGGCCTGAAAATACCTCCTGGAAAATAAATTAGAACCCAAGTGCCTCCTGGTAATGGACAATGCACCTGCTCATCCTCCAGACTTTGATGACCAAATGGTAGAGGAGTTTTGTTTCATCACAGTGAAGTTCTTGCCCTCTAATACCACTCCTCTTATCCAGCCTGTGGGCCAGTAGATCATTTCAAACTTCAAAAAACTACACCAAAGCAATGTTTCAAAGGTGTTTTGATGTGACATGAGACACTCAATTGACCCTAAGAGAGTTTTGGAAAGATCACTTCAGTATCCTACATTGCATAAGGGAGGGAGTGACTTCCAGGACTTAGAACTCTGCTTGGAGAAAATTGTGGCCAGATTGTGTCCAAGAGAGGGATTTTGAAGGGTTTGAGGCTGACCCTGAGGACCCTATGCCAGTTGTGGAATCTATTGTGGCATTGGGGAATTCCATGAGGCTGGATGTGAGTTGCAAGGATGTGGAAGAGTTGGTGGAGGACCACAATGAAGAGCTGCAAGAGCTTCAACTGGAAGAGCAACAGACCACAGCAAAGGAAATTGCTTCAGAGGAGGAGGAGGGAGAGAGATGGAATAAGGTGTCTTCTTCAGAGATTATGAGATTTGTGCAGTGTGGAGTAGGATGGAAAGATTTGTGGAGGAACATCACCCTGACAAAGCTCTTGCAAGCCGTGTCGGTAACATGTATAATGACAATGTCCTGTCCCATTTTAGGGAAATTTTAAAGAGATGCCAGAAACAGAGCTCTCTGGACAGATATGTGGTGCCACAGATGTGCAGTGACTCTCAAGCTGGTCCTAGTGGCATTAAAAACAAAGAAGGGAAGTAACCCCGGAAAAGCACTTGGTACCTGAAGTCTTTATGGAAGGGGATTCCCCTTCTGAACAGTAATTTCCACATCCTCTCCCCTCCCCCTGTCTTCCATACACTAAGAAGAATCTTCAGCAACAGTAAGTGTCATGTTATTTTATTATTCATGTCTCATTGTTTTCTGTGTATGTACATCTATATTTCATGTATTATTATTATTATAATCAAAAAGAAGTGCTAAGCCACAAGGGCTATACAGCGCTGCTATATTTCATGTAAAAAAAAAATGGTTTTATTTTAATACTTTTGGGTGTCTGGAATGGATTAATTAGATTTACATTATTTCTTATTGGGAAAATGGTTTCGCAGATCATCAGTTTCGCAATTAGTAGTCACACACTCTGGAACGGATTACTGTACTGTACTTATGAGAAACGAGGGTCCACTGTATTGTAAAACCAGAACATTAAAAGTCAGGAACCTACTGTATCATTGACTGAATAGCAAAAGGCTTTGACCCTGGGGTCTTTGTTATCTGTCTTCCCTCTTCTATAATTCATCAGTCTGGATGACCCATTAGGTTTAAGTGCTTGTTTTTTAATATAATATAGCTGATCAGTAGATTACTATTCAACAGAGTAGGTAAAAATGTCTCATGATCTTTGTGTCTAAGTCATTTGACAGGGTTTGGCTGCATTCATTCTTAGAATTAGTTTGGATGTACCTCAAGGATTTGTATTTTCTTTTTCACATTTTCTTTTACATTTGATTGCTCTTTCAACCATGCACAATTCTTTCGATATTAAGTTTATAAATACTACACTTCAGTTAATGAAAACTGAATCATCCTATTACAGCTGTATTTTGTTTGATCAAGTTAAAGTAGCAGTTTTGGAATCTGATGATAATTACAATACATACCTCTTATTTCCCAGGTGCTGTATGAGCCCTCATGAGTATAATAATAATACAGTAATAAATAAATATCCAAGTACAGTATATTAATGCTCACATTTCTTTCAGAGATACCTTCATATATGCAGCATCAGTAGAGTCAAAAGGCATGTCAGATGCAGTTGAAGTCTTATCTGAGGTTGTCCTGAGACCTCAGTTGCTTCCAGAAGAGGTAGGAGATGCTGTATGATTGAAAATTCTCAAGATTTTAACCCTTAAACTGTCCAAACGTAGATCTACGTTTGCACGTGTAGTGCTCCGAATGCAGATTTACGTTTTTTTTTTTTTTACATAAGATTATTATTATAATCAAGGGGAAGCGCTAAACCCGGAGGATTATACAGCGCCTGGGGGGGGATGTGGAAGGCATTCAGGCTTAATTCGGGGAACTGGAGCACAGATCCAATTCCCTAAATCAAGAGCCCCTCGCCAACATCAAGGAACCTTCCTTGAGGGGTTTACATAAGAAACAACGTAAAATCAAACGTAGATCTACGTTTGGACAGTTTAAGGGTTAACCTTTGTACTGTAATTAGTTAAAACATTTATAAATGATTTTTGGCCAAAAAACATTTTTGCAACTTGAAATTTCTTCAGTTTGCTTTTTTCATTTTTATGACAAAGCGACAGACAACTCTGAACATATGTCTGCCCTACATCCGCCCAGATTTTTACGAGATGACTAGTTATTGGCTAACCAGTGTTCTGGAGAGAACTTTAGTCAGTGTTTCAGTCTTGTACTGTGTAGATGTTAGAGCAAATTGTGCTAGCATATCTAATCAGCTTGTTACTCTTTGTTAGTATTTCTCATGTAAAATAAAAAGTATTCACTGGTTTCGGGACATCTTTGTTTCCCAAAGATATGTCACTCTACTATGATGGGTGGGATTAATCAACATGTACTTGAGAAGGTCTTCCTGAGCACATACTGTACCAAACTAAGAGCCCAGCCTCTTGAGGCTGAAATGACAAGGACATTGCCTCACTTCAAAATTCAGACTTTTTTTTTTTTTTTTTTTTTTTTTTTTTTGTCATTGCATTGGGGAGATTGTTTGTGAAATCTGCATTCTTTCTCCTATATTTCCCGGGAACTTTGCCTAATTGTTTTTTGATCATGACTTTTTCTTCTTGAAAGGAGGGGAGGGGTTGATGCCAGTAAAGGAATCTTGATCCAGAGAATTGTAATAAAGTTGGTAGAATTACCGACAATATGTAAAGTAAAAGGACACAAGTGCAACTAATGTGACATATATTGTGGCAACGTTTCGCTCTCCAGGAGCTTTATCAAGCCATTACAAACAATACATGGACACAGAGGGTATATAAAGGCTCAGAGTGAGGTGCAGTACTAGTGAGGTACCATTTAGATGTTCACTAGTGGTAGTAGTAGTAGAAGTAGTAGTGACAAAAGTAGTAGTAGTAATACAATATGGTAGAGCAACTAATTCGTACATGAGTAAAAGGATATAAAAGCTATTAGCTTTTATATCCTTTTTAAGGATATAAAAGCTAATATTTTTTATATCCTTTTATTTTTTTTTTTTTTTTTTTTTTTTTCTCTCTCAACAAGTCGGTCGTCTCCCACCGAGGCAGGGTGACCCAAAAAAGAAAGAAAATACTTTCATCATCATTCAACACTTTCACCACACTCACACATTATCACTGCTTTTGCAGAGGTGCCCAGAATACAACAGTTTAGAAGCATATACGTATAAAGATACACAACATATCCCTCCAAACTGCCAATATCCCAAACCACTCCTTTAAAGTGCAGGCATTGTACTTCCCATTTCCAGGACTCAAGTCCGACTATATGAAAATAACCGGTTTCCCTGAATCCCTTCACTAAATATTACCCTGCTCACACTCCAACAGATCGTCAGGTCCCAAGTATCATTCGTCTCCATTCACTCCTATCTGAACACGCTCATGCACGCTTGCTGGAAGTCCAAGCCCCTCGCCCACAAAACCTCCTTTACCCCCTCTTTCCAACCCTTTCGAGGACGACCCCTACCCCTCTTTCCTTCCCCTATAGATTTATATGCTTTCCATGTCATTCTACTTTGATCCATTCTCTCTAAATTACCAAACCACCTCAACAACCCCTCTTCTGCCCTCTGACTAATGCTTTTATTAACTCCACACCTTCTCCTAATTTCCACACTCCGAATTTTCTGCATAATATTTACACCACACATTGCCCTTAGACAGGACATCTCTACTGCCTCCAACCGTCTCCTCGCTGCTGCATTTACCACCCAAGCTTCACATCCATATAAGAGTGTTGGTACTACTATACTTTCATACATTCCCTTCTTTGCCTCCATAGATAACGTTTTTTGACTCCACATATACCTCAACGCACCACTCACCTTTTTTCCCTCATCAATTCTATGATTAACCTCATCCTTCATAAATCCATCCGCCGACACGTCAACTCCCAAGTATCTGAAAACATTCACTTCTTCCATACTCCTCCTCCCCAATTTGATATCCAATTTTTCTTTATCTAAATCATTTGATACCCTCATCACCTTACTCTTTTCTATGTTCACTTTCCTTTTACTCATGTACGAATTAATTGCTCTACCATATTGTATTACTACTACTACTTTTGTCACTACTACTTCTACTACTACTACCACTAGTGAACATCTAAATGGTACCTCACTAGTACTGCACCTCACTCTGAGCCTTTATATACCCTCTGTGTCCATGTATTGTTTGTAATGGTTTGATAAAGCTCCTGGAGAGCGAAACGTTGCCACAATAAATGTCACATTAGTTGCACTTGTGTCCTTTTATTTTACATCCAGAGAATTGGAGATACCCTTCTTTTCCATGGATTGAATCTTATCGTCTCCCATTCCTCATGTGCCATATGACCCCTGTGGGTTTAGTGATTTTCCGTGAAAGTAATAAAGATTGTTTCTCGTGGAGTGATTTTACTTCTGTTGTTAACCTTCCATGATGTTACATTATTTTCTTTATTTGAACATTATTAATTTTTTTGCTTCCATTTTCTTTTTCTCATGTTTGTGTGCTATAGTAAACCATATTTTTGTTCTCAGTGTGCTATTATCCCTCAGTACATACAAGGAGTTACACTACATTTGTTGTCAGTTTGTACATAGCTCTACGATATAAATATGATTATTATAATCCATTAGTTGTCATCCATTTGATGAGGCTTCTTAATGTAAATAAAACCCTCATATAGGGTAGAGAGACTAATTTACAGACACCATAGTGAAATGTTATCTGTAAATTTTATTTTCTGTTTTATGAAGTAGTTGCTTGCTTGTTTGTACCTAGTGCTACTGAACAGTAATTCTTAATAATCTTGAGAAAGCTAGACATGAATGATAAAGAATAAGTGTTAATTAAATATTCATCCTTTGTTCTTTTATTTGTGCATAGAGTTGTGTAATGTCGTAAATTTCATTTTTGTTTTCATTCTCACTAGATTACGGATGCTCAAATGGCCGTGTCATTTGACCTTGAGGATTTGCAGCTGCGTCCTGAGAAAGACACTTTGCTCATGGAGATGATACATGCAGTAAGTTTCTTAGCTGACCCCAAGGGAATTTTTTTTCTTGTATGTTTTATATATACAGTTGAACCTCCATTAACGAGTTTAATCCGTTCCATGACCTTGCTCGCATCTGGATTTGCTCATTTGCAGAGTCAGTTTTCCTCATTTAAATTAACTGTAATGGAATTAATTCATTCCAGTGGAATTCCAGGCACCATAAAATACTTCAATAATTTCCCTAATATCAACTCTATGGCTTATTTATCTATCAAAATTAATTTAATATGACATAATAAACATTATAAATAACATAGAAACCTGATATATACTCTAGAATGAATAAAATTTGTCACTATATGTGGCAGCGTCAGCGGCCGACGAGAGTATCTGGAGAAAGGACAAAATAGTACTCCTTGAATATTTCGCTACATCAACTCTACGGCTTATTTATCTATTACACTTCATCTAATATGACATAATAAACAACATAAATAAAATAGAAACCTGATATATACTCTAGAATGAATAAAATATGTCATAATGTGACAAGTGAAGGTGGCCATAATCACTCCAGCTTTGTTGTGGTAAACACTGCCATCTAGTGACAGCCTTTGAAGCCATCTATTATTATAATTATTATTATACATATTATTCTTCTGCTACTAGTACTAGTACTATTACTAGTACTAGTACTATTACTAGTACTACTACTAGTACTACTACTAGTACTACTACTAGTACTACTACTAGTACTGTTACTAGTACTACTACTAGTACTGTTACTAGTGCTACTACTAGTACTAGTACTACTACTGCTACTAGTGCTGCTGCTGCCACCAATATAAATAATTTGGAATTTTTATTCACACAAAAAATAGAAGATTAACGGTTATGTAGACTACTGCATTATTGTAATAATTGTATAAATAATGTCAACCCATTCATGACTGCACATTGGAATGGAGGTGACGTCATTTGTTTACTCTTGAACATCGGCAAAAATAGAACATTTTTGCTACTTTGAGCTCATTTCCAATTATTATTATTATAATCAAGGGGGAAGCGCTAAACCCGGAGGATTATACAGCGCCTGGGGGGGGGGATGTGGAAGGCATTCAGGCTTAATTCGGGGAACTGGAGCACAGATCCAATTCCCTAAATCAAGAGCCCCTCACCAACATCAAGGAACCTTCCTTGAGGGGAGCTCATTTCCAAGGTACTTCTCATCATGAAACCAATCAAAATCGCATCTATTTCTGTAATATATCTTCCATTCTATCAAAGAGACCACAAAAGCCAGAATGCAACCATAAAAACCATACAAAAATACCGCTAAGGGGCGGCTAATTGCTGAGAAGTGAACTCCATTGTTTATGGTCTTATTTCTTTCATTTTTGGTGTACATTAAGAAGCATCTTTCCATCATACATTGCCCAAGTTTCAATAAGATAGTCCAACAAACAAATGAGATACAATTCCCTAGATCAAGAGCAAGAGCCCCTCATCAGCTTCAAGGAACCTCCTTTGAGGCCCGCTCGCTTATGGAAATTTCGCTCGCGTATGGAAGCAAAACATCAACCGATCAACTGCTTGTACAGTGGACCCCCGCATAACGATGGCATCACATAGCGATTTTTCCGCATACCGATTACTTTTATCGCAAAATTTTTGCCGCGCATACCGATTAAAAACCCGCTTACCGATTTTCGTCCGAGACGCGTCCAATGTGCCCTCAGCCAGCCTCACATGTGCCGGCCGTCCCATTGTTTACCAGCCAGCCTCCGCGGTAACATCCAAGCATACACTCGGAATATTTCGTATTATTACAGTGTTTTCGGTGCTGTTTCTGGAAAATAAGTGACTATGGGCCCAAGAAAGCTTCTAGTGCCAACCCTGTGGGAAAAAGGGTGAGAATTAGTATGGAAATTAAGAAAGATTTTGAAGGGTTTTGGGGGTAACCCTGAGAAGCCTATGCCAGTTGTGGAATCCATTGTGCCTACTTCAAAGATTAAGGAAATGTTTTGGGACAGTGGGTTGAACTGCAAACCTTTATAGATGAAAATCACCCTGACACAGCTGTTGCAAGCCGTGCTGGTGACTATTTCAATGACAATGTTGTGGCCCATTTTTGACAAATCGTAAAGGAACGGGGGGTACAGAGCTTAGGACAGATTTGTTGTGCGACAGAGGTCCAGTGACCTCAAGCGGTCCAGTGGCTTAAAAGAAGAAGGGAAGAACCCCGGAAAAGGGGCTTCACCTCAAGCGTAATGGAAGGGGATTCCCTTCTAAACATTATTTTTATAC